CCTTCCTTGTTGTTAGGTTTAATCAAGGAGGAATGTGATCCTTCATACTTGTACTTAGTTTCATTTTTTTTTATTTAATGCTATGTGATGCATTTCTTTAAAAAAAAAAAGAAGTGCATTAAGAATGAAATAAAAAAAGTGCATTTTTAGATAGGATATTAAACAAATGTGGATGAGATATTTTGCTAAGCTTTTCAAAAGAAGATTGTGTCTAAATGAAAAATATATATTTTTATATTATCGGTGTATCAGTAAATTGAAGTGAGATGTTTTATAGAAAATGAAGTCTGAAAAAACTAGTAGACCTGAATGATATTCCAATAGAGGTGTGAAAATGCTTAGGAGATGAAGGAATTTCTTGGTTACTAAACTTTTTAATATTATTTTGAGACTAAAAAGATGCCAGATGAATAGAGAATGTGTGTTGATTTTCTATTTTTAAGAATAAAGTCATGCACAAGATTATCGAATTATACATAAAAATTAAGTTAGATGTGTCATACTTTATAAAACTTTGGGAGAGAGTTATGAAGCATAGGTTACGACGTGATACTAATGTTTCTCAAAATCAATTTGGATTCATGCTGGATAGGTCTACTATGGAAGCTATTCATTTATTAACAGGGTTGATAGAGAGTTTACAGGAAATAAAGAAGATCTACATATGATATTTATTGATTTAGAGAAAACATATGATAAAGTTTCAAGAAAAGTGCTATGAAAAGTTCTAGAAAAAAAAGAGTTAATAATGCTTATATTCAATTCATTAGGGAATGAATGCAGGAGGTGTTACTTGTTGTTCAAACACAAGGTTTGAAAATTTTTGACCAAGTATTTCCCTATTTCGGTTGGGTTACATCAAGGATCAGCCTTAAGCCCATATCTTTTTGCTTTAGTCTTGGATGTTCTCACTAGACATTTGCAATAGGATTTACCTTGGTGTATGCTTTTTGTTGATGATATTCTTCTTGTTGATAAGATTAGAGAGGGAGTTGAAGGTAAACTTGAATTATGGAGGTCAACCTTAGAGTCTAAAGGTTTTTGCTTGAGTAGATCTAAAACGGAATATATGGAGTGTAATTTTAGTAGTAATAGACCTAGTGAGGGGATTGTGACTTTGGGCGATCAAGTCATTAATAAGAGTACACGTTTTAGATATCTTGGATCTATTGTTCAGAGTGATGGTGAAATAGATGGGGATATTATCAGCAGAATTCAAGTTGGATGGTTGAAGTGGAGGAATGCATCGGGCTTGTTATGTGATAGAAATGTACCCCTCAAACTTAAGGGAAAATTCTATAAGATGGTAGTGAGGCCTGCAATGCTTTATGGTGCCGAATGTTGGCCTTTAAAAGAGAAGCATAATACTAAGTTAAGTGTGGCAGAGATGAGGATGCTCAGGTGGATGAGTGGCTTTACCCTTAGAGATAGGATACGAAATGAGCATATACGTGAAAAGGTTGGAGTAGCTCCAGTAGAAGATAAGATTAGAGAAAGTCGCCTTAGATGGTTTGGTCACATAAAACGGCGGCCTTGCGATGACCCGGTTAGGAGAGTAGAGGTATTAGATTTGACTTATGTTAAGAAAGGTAGGGGTAGTCCTAAAAAGACTTGGTTAGAAAATATTAGAAATGACCTTTCTTTATTAGATTTAAACGAGAATTTGACTTTTAATAGGACACAATGGAGAAAAAGGATTCATGTAGCCGACCCCACGTAGTGGGATAAAGGCTTGATGTTGTTGTTGTTGTTGTTGTTGTAAAGTAGTTGGAGGCAAGTAGTTGGAGATAATGACACATCATAGGCTTACCAAGAATATGCATTAATCTCCTATTTTCTTTTTTATTTTTACTAAATCATAATAAAAGAAATTAACCAAAGATCAATAGTTAAAAATTACCCAATACTACTGATAAAAAAAACCAAATGTTCAAGCTCCTTGCACTATCTTGCCAAAGTCCAAGCTTTTTCTCTGATACCAGAATTAATATCCTCAGAATGTTGATGATCAAAGGTTCTACATTGTTGGGGTAGGATTTTTCCAATGTTTTCAGACCCCTTGGTGTGCAGATAGTGTATGGGTTTGATGAAGAGAAGGGGTTGGTCAACCCTTAGTTGGGATCCAAAATGTAGAACACCTAGTCTTAGGTTTAAAAATTAGGATTTAGGATTATGGGTGGATTTAAGTGATGGGAAGGATTTGGGAGGTTAGATGTCTGCAGGGAGATTAGTGATGGAGTAAAAGGAAAGATTCTCTAGCATTTGGGGGCTTGAGGATTGAGATAGATAGCTTGGTCGAGAGCTCTTGAGAGGGTGGGAGTTGTGGGTTATTTGAAAGCTATTGAAACTAGAGATTGATCATGGAGGGTGATAGGGATGTAGGAAATGATGAAAATGAGGAGGCAACAAAGATATAGATATAGATCTGCAAGCAAAGAGGGGCAATTAGTTATTTCACCAAGAAGAGCTGAGGGTCAACTGCCAAGCTATCTCCCCAAGAAAAAAAACCCCTCCATTTTTTTAATCGATCAAAGTTAAATTTCATTCATTCAAGCATATATTTATTATCTCAGTTATAAAATTAAAATTCAAAGAAAACAAAAAATAAAAGAAAAGGGGACAATACGAAAGGAGGACAGGGAATTGAAATCAATCCTCCACTTAAGAAAAAAAAAACTTGAAATAAAAAATCCACTCGAGTCTTGACCAGCCATGTTAGCTTCCTAATCAGTCCGACAACTATTAAAATAAAAGAAATATAAATCTAAATCTTTCCATATGGGTTAAAGTTTGGAAGTTCAAAATTTTGGGCTAAATTTTTACATCCAAGCTTTAATATAAAACTAAAATTTTCATATCAAGGTTCTTCATGGATGATTAAGATTATTTTCAAATGATGATCTCCTAGCCCTTGATCTCTTATAATTTTGATCCATTGATCTTAATCTTGATATTCTACATCAATGACTTCATTGACTGCCCCTTCAAAGCTCATCAAAGTTCTCTACCAAATATTCAACCAATATTAGCCTGAAGAGCTAAGTCTCACTGTTATTTTCTCTTCTTCTCTTCATCCCACCTTATGTAATTAATTAACTCTAAAATTTCATCTTGGATGTAACATCTGATTGTATTTGACCCCTCTTTATTTCATTTCTACTTAGCACTCTCAAGAATGCTCCCTGAAGACTCTATGGTACCTCCATTGTATTCAAGTAACAATCTAGTGCATATTGCCACTCAGTTGCCTTGAACATGGATATAGATCTACAAACCAAATCTCAATAAATCGTTGTCTCATCTTCACATTTTGTTTTCTTTCTAAGTCTTCTAGTAGAATAGCCACAATGTAATATTTTTCTCCTTATCTCAAATGAACCTTTGAACTTCTCGTCTTCTTTTGATTCTCTCGAGAAAGCAAGTTTCCACTATTAGCACCATCCATATATGATTATTGAGAAAAAATTTTAAATTATAAAAGCAAGGGGAATTATAATATATTCTTTTGGAAGCCATCTTCAATAAATTGAAGCTCTTTGATTGTTGGAGCATGAAAATCATGGTCCCCCTGGCCTATGCATTCACTATTGCAATTAGAAGGTTCACATCCATGAGCTCGACTCCATTTACCTCCATCACTTATAGAGACACCCCCACTTCACCAAAACATAGCTCCCCAAATAAGCCCAACTAAGCATAGTTTATATTAACAAATTTAAATACAAATGGTGGAAAGAGGACATGCTCTGACAATCAGAAAGCGCATCACACAAGAAAAGATCATTATTGAAGGTCATGTAACTTGCATATTCAACAAGAATCTGTAGTCTTGACATCATAATTTAATATATTAGAAATTTATCTAAACATTGGTTGTGAGATTCATAGAAGGATGGTGATCATAAGAGTGAGTGAAAAAACAAGTACATCACTCAATTGAGAAACTTTTATTTCTTCTTATATTTGACTTAATAAAATAATTATATTGGGAGCTCTTAACTTTGGATGTTTGGCTTCTAAGCATTGCTCTCTTAATGGCGGCTAGGATCCCTAGGTTCCAAAAAGTCCGGATTATAAAGCTAGGTGTGTTTCATAACACAACCAAGTCATTAGATCATGAAGGCTTTGAACACTTCTCCCCAAAACTTATTCGATTGCTCCACCTCTCAGCTAATAATAGATTAGTAGATGATCAGGTGTGCCTGTTCATTATTGAATGTAAAGGCACAAAATGGAGGTGATTGTATAGTACTAGCAGAATGAATAGCAAGGCAAAGTGGGTGACCTATTGGCTATGGTTGTAGTGGCAAAAAGAAGAGTAATTGTTGTACTTCTTCTCTATTAGCAAGGCATGGCCATGTGTCAAACGTTGGGAGTCCTACAGCCATTCCCAAACCATGATCTGAAAGAACTACTGATAGGTTGCCATCAGAGTAGTTGCCGAATGTTAAAAGGATGCCAACAAATTGTCATTTAAAAGAAGCCAGCACATATCACTCTTCATGGAATAGTCAGATACTCTTGTTGGCATTGGTCCCCACTTTCATGTATCGGTTTCTTGGACATTACCGTGACATCATTGATTATTAGATCCATGTGCTCTCCAGATTTTGCCTTTCAGACGGTGTCGGATAATAACCCCTTTAGACCCGATTTGCAGTCTAAGGCCGACTACATCTCCTCATACTGATGTTCTTACAGGATCAGTAAATAGGCCCATTTTATATGGAGATTGATGCATCTCGAAAGAGGGCTACAGCTTACATGTTTTTGCCCTGGACCCAAAGAGAAATCACTCAATCTTTATACAGATGCCCAACTAAATTTCCGTAATATACAATTACCCTGCCGCCATAACGAAAAGGCCAAATAACCCACTCCATTTTAAGGAAAAGATAATATTAGAACTAAGATAAGGACAGATAACAACTGCAAAAAATCGCATAAAATCACAAATAGGGTAGTGTTAAAGACTTAGACCGGGAGGAAATAATCAAAACCTGAGGCATTTGCCAAGCATCAGGGATATCAAGCCGTGAAGCTGAAAAGATCTGCACAAAAACATTTGCCGAAATTAGATAGAAACTTAAAGATGAGCTATTGAAGTGGAGGAAAACTTAGCGACGCTCATCAGACCTTCTTAGACGAATTTATGAGACATATGCCAACGTTCTTTCGGTAGCCCGCTGGAGGTGCTTCCATGGAAGAGTGGAAGGGAAGATGAAATTGCTTCTGTGGACGCAGTTGCAAACCTGTAGAGTTGGCAAACGGAGGAGGATTGACCGGGCAAGATAGCACGTATTTACTCAGAGCGGGATAGCTGGGCAGACGGTATGGCAAGGGACGACACAAATAGATCATCGATCCTCTAAGCGACACCGGCACGTTGAATGAGAAATTAGTACTTAAGAAATGCATGTCCTTCAATGTATATTGATTTATTTTTATTTTTATATATTCAGAAGCTACATCATATATTTTTCTACTATTAATATTTTAACTTTAGATGTCTCATGATACTCATAACTTGAGAAATATTATCAGTGTTTTCTTTTCTGAAAAATATATATGTGAAAATGTATCTCAAATCAAAATACCACCACTTTTTATAAATATGAGTTGAAGCTCTCCTTAAACACTTACTTGACCTTTCAATCATAGGAGTTTCTTGACCTTCCTCTTCACAGGACCTTTGTATTTAGTCATCACATAGCATGTGTTCAAGCTGTGCCTGAGGTGGTCTCTCCATTTAACATCTATTCAATATTAATGATGTTAATTGTTTCATTATTTAAGTTTAATACGCTTTTTGCATTATAAACCTTAAACTTTGAATGTCATTAGATATCAAAGAACTTTCTACAAACTTGTTAGAATTAGATTTGTATCATGTTTGAATGATTTTCAGATCATGATTGAATCATCATCAAACCTTTATCAGGGCATCTTCAACCATGACTCTCGCAGGATGTGATCATACTTGAAGATTAATCGATCATATGCAATGATAGTTAAGTCATGGCTTGATTGCATTTGAAGATGGTTCCATATTGGCTCGAAGGTGGTTAGATCATAGTTTGATCATTGTTCAAAAATAGTTTGATCATTGTTCAAAGATTATTTGATTATTATTCAATCTGAATTTATTGTGGTTCAAATATGATTTGAAGATGCTTCATTTTGTGTTGCCTTCTTTATTTCTCTTGAAATTTACTCATTTGAGTTATTTTGTTATGTACTCAAATACATGATCTAATCATACGTGTAGAGCAATATTATACTACTCATGTCACATTCATAGCTAAGCAATGTGATTAAACTATTTAAGGCTAATAATCTAGTTATCAAGGTTGAGAGATCACTCATTACTCTTTAGTCAATTCTTCAAATATCCTGAATTATAATTCTCTTGGTCTTTGATTCATTAATTGTTATTAGGGCGGTTGATGATGATGAAAATGAGGGCTACTTTATTGTGTTTAATATTATAGATGAGTATACAACATTTGGCTTATTGAATTTGCTTTAATCATTAAATTGAAATTTCGAGAATACCCACATGAAGAGGAATTCAATGGGAAGAGGAAAATGAGAGGCTATTACATAATTACTTTGGTGGAGATAAAGAAATTAATGAATTTGAATTTTGATAAAACATTCTTAGAGTGCACTATGAGGGATGATATCTTAAATTTTGGTTTATATTTTTTTGTAGATGGTGTTCTACTCAACCAATACATTATTACTTTTATTGAGATGTTGGCTTAGTTAAATATAATGAAGCATTTTTTGGATACCCATTGGTAGGCTGTCATAGGAGAGGACACATAAAGGGCTGAAGAGGGATATAATATGTTATGCAGTTAATGCTCTACAGAATAATGCCTCATCCTAGTACATTAATACTAGATTTGTGATATCACACTAAATTTATTAGGCTTATTAATTCATCTTAGCATTGAGTAGGAGAATTGTTAATTTTCTTGGAGAGATGTCACTAAGGATGTTCTGTCATAATATCAATAAGTGTCACAGAATTGGGCGTAGAAAGTGGTGCAACCTAGTAACATGAGACATGATGAGGAAACATAAAATTTTATTTTGTACTCACAAAAGAAAAATTCATGTACAAGTAATATAAATAGAATATATTAAAATAAATAACAAAAGATAAACACAACTTTTATTTCATTATTATGAATTTAGATAACATTACATTAATAAAGTAGAAACAAATACATGTGAAAAAAGAACTGCATGAAATAACTACAGAAATAAAACAACCTAACCCTCAAAAGAAAATATGAATAACCTACTAAAATATATGAAATATCAACTCTGCTCCCCTTGTAGTGGTCCACCTAAAATTTCGATAGGATTTCTATAAGAAAAGTTAACAATGAGTATGTTTGAGAGATCAAATCCATCAAGTAACATATATATTAAAGCATAAATAACAAGGAAATGGGGTATACAATATGAAGTAACTATTTAACAATAGATAATAGATTTATTAATGTAGCTATGCAAATTATATTGGACCCCATAAGCTTGGTGAGATTACTAGGATTTTGATGATCACAAGCATTATTATGAAAATTAAGCTAATAAATTTGTGTGTAAATCTCTTTTTATTTAAGCTTACATTTTAAATAAATCAAAAGATGAATGACAAATAATATTAGATAGACACACACACACTAATGGCAATCGGAAAAGCATGATCAAATTAAATTGAACATATGAAGTTGTCAAAGATAAGAAGATTGCTAAAGCATTAATGCATGTAATTTCATTTTTCTTTTTTATTTTGAGTTTTCTTATAATTTTTCTATGCATATGATTTACTAAAACAACTAAGCACACACACATGAGAGTAATATATGTTAAAAATAAGAAAATTATAAGTTAATTAAAATACACTATTTATTGTAAGTTCATATTATTTGACTTGGTTCATACTATATGACATATATAGCATGTTGGTAATTTTGAAGAATATGGTTATGTTAATTAATAGAAAATACAAATTAAACTTAATAAAAATAATCATATTGTATGACATAGTTCAAGCCATATGATTAGATATATTAAAATGTAAACATTTCATTATATGTTCTTTCCATAAAAAGGAAAATTCAAATTTAAACTAATCATATTGTATGCATAATATTTTATTGTATGATTATTTATGAGTTTATTAATTTAGGACTAAAAAATCCAAGACAACAAAAACATTAAGCCGTTATCCCACTACATATGGTCGGCTACATGAATCATTTTTCTCCATTGATCCTGCTACTCAAAAATCCAAGACATTTATCAAAAATAAAATCTAAAATTACCATATTTTAGAAACCTATTTGTAAAGTTTGGAAAAAACTAAGAGCATGTTGGTATGATTTTCATAAATTGATCCAATGTCCTCGTACTAGAAATTGAGTTAATTTTACTGCATAATTTATATCATATATTCTGAATGAACACATAATGATTTTTAGAACTTCAGGTTTATTGTACTAATCATAATATATGATATTCTGATTGGACTATATGATGAAGCTAATAGTTTTACTAATAATTTTATTTAGGGTTTCTATGGGGACCACGTTATATATGTGTGTGTGTGTGTGTGTGTGTGTGTGCGTGTGTGTGTGTGTGTGTGTGTGTGTGTGTGCGTGATCTCTAAGAAACCCTAACATGTGACCTGAGAGTGAAGGAGTTCTTATGTATATTGAGAGCTTTTGTAATGCCCAAGATTTAAATGAGAAGAATTGCATCTTTCATCTCTTAATTAACCTATCATAGCCTCTAATTTTCCTTTAAAATAAAGGAAAAGAAAAACCAATGAAAATAATTCTTATATATCAAAATATTTCACTATTTCATTTTTCAAAATTTGTGTTACAATAGTGAGGTGTTCACTTAAAACATTAATCTACCTCACTAAGCTCTTGACTACAAAAGAATAAAGCATAATATATAACCGAAAGAAAACCTAAGAGTTTCCAATCATCCTCACTTCATACAATCCTAATCCCTTACTCGACCATATATCAATAAAATTCAAATCATGAGCTTACAAAGCCCAACAGAACCTCAAAACTACCAAAGCTTCCAATGTAAGGTCAAGAGAATCAATATGCATGCTCATTTCAATCAATATAAATTTAGTAGCTATCAATATGAAATATAATCATTCACTAGTGATACGAATCAATTTGATTAGTGCACGCAAAAAGCTTATAAATCATTATACTTAAATATATAAATCAACATCATATGTAATATCCATCGCCCAAAATTTATGTAATTGTTTATTCATGATTGTTAATTTTAAGTTAAGTACCGATTGAATGCTTATTGGGATTATGAATAACCAAGGTTTGGAGTCTGAGAATTGAAAATTTAAAATATGAAAAATTCTTTGTGAGCGTAGCGATGCTAATATTATTGATGCCCTACCCCCTGGCTTTGAGTTCTTGGGTTTTTGGATAGAAAAATAGATTTGGGTATACACTGAGGAACTAAGGATGTACCATAGCGACGCTAGCTCTCAAGTGAAGATATTATGGAAGAATCTAAAATATTATATAGAAGCACATCAGCATTGGAAAAGTGAGCACTTTAACACTAGGTCAAAATAATAGAAACATTATATTCAAATATGAAAAAACACTTGCCAAATTCATTTCTACCAACCATTGCAAGAGAAGAAGAATATGAAACACAAAGGGAGAGAGAGAGAGAGAGAGAGAGAGAGAGAGAGAGAGATTTTGAGGCCAGATCTCGAGATAAATTCATCGGGTCTATTTAAGATATTGTAAAGCTTAATGTAGACTCCTAAACCTACCTCTAATTTTAATTCCATTAAATTTATAAAAATTTATGAATAAAAAGTATTTTTTTCTTCAAGTTTTATAGAGTTTTAATTATTTGTCTTATAATATATTATTATACTATGTATTAAAAATATATAAAATTAGGCTGCTATTAAGTTTTTCAACAATTGGGTTTTCCTGCACGATTTTCTAAATAAATTATTTAATTAAGGTTTTTCTAAAAAATACTATAGTTATATAAAATCCTTTAAACATTAATGTGAAGGCCCCTCTAAAGTTAGAAATTAAAAAAGGAAAGGTTCTACTTGTATTCTATTTTTCAAGTAATATGACTTTCACTAGTAGTTCATACACTTTCTAAATATTGTACTTAGTGCTATTACATTGAATTTGCATTCTATATTATATGGTAATTGATATATTCTATTTTTTGTGATGAAAAGTGCACTCTATGTTATTTTACAAGGGACCTAAATGTACTCTTTTGGCCCCATCTATCTGATAAAGATATTAGAGGGTTTCTAGCCCTCCTTATTGAAACAAATATATAGGAGATTAGGTGATACTTTGTAATAATATAT